ACTATGGGGCCTATGGGTATGCACTTCGCTCTGCGACTCTGAGATGCACAGACACGGCCCGGAACAATGGAGGACTCCGCCCCCCGCTGTCCTTGGTCACTGCGATGTCGGAGATCTTCATGGACACGCGGTGGTTGCCGGACTTCCCAGGCTTTGACACCCCGGCGGCCCTGAGGAATCTCTCACAAGCATGTTCTGCTTTCCGGTGTTTCGGCTGCGGCCTTGCTGCTAGCAATAGCCTACTAGACAGGTTGGATGGGTAGAGAGCTTAGATAGAACGATAGATAGATAAGCTATGATATAGGCTTATGCATCGGCTGCACAAACTAGGCCTGCAAGTAGGACAGCCCGCACGAGAGCTGTGAAGGAGCCCTTTCTTGTGTCCTCTCCGGCCGGCTTCGCTGCCACTAAGGCCCGGGCATGGAGATGCTCTTCCTTGCGGCTTTGAGTGATGGCTACTAGCAGAACTGTGATTCTGATCAGCTAATTACCGTTCGCCGTGTCCTGCCGATGTTCTGCAGTCGCGTGGCCACCGACCGCTGTTCTTGCTCCTCGCTTGCAAAATAATATGAGCAGAAGCCGTCACAAGCCACGGACTTCTTGTCTCCTCCTCCTCCTCTTCGTCCTCGTCGTCCTGCTCCTCTACGTCCGTGATGTGACAGGAGTGGTACTTGTGAGACCTCCAAGATTGCGCAGGCTCCGGCCGGCTAAGGCGGCTACGGCGGCTAAGGCCGCGACAAGTGGAGGCAATAGTCCACTGCAAAGCCCACAAAGACGATGAGGGACAACACTTCGATGGCTCCGATCTTCCACGACATAATCTCAGCATAGGAAGCCATTCGGGCCATTGCACTGCTACAGTGCTACAGCACAAGGCAGCGTAAGGGGCCGGCGATGACCATGAAGAACAGTAGGCCAAGCACAATCATCATGACGACCAGCATCACGATCAGCGAGAGATGTGTGCTCCGAGTGAACACCAAGACTCCCAAGAACACACAGCCCAGGGAGATGCAAAGCGTGACCAGCGTACTATCCAGTATCACCTCAGGGCTGACTGCAAAAGATTCCCGGCTCTCAGCACTCACAGAGGCTGCCGCCCCGCCGCCCCGCCGCCCCGCCGCCCTGCCGCCTGCCTTCTCTGCTTCGGCGATGGTCCAGACGCGGGAGGCCTAAGAGAAAAGCCGGAGTCTCTGAGGCCTTGAGAAAAGGCTCTGAGAATCTCTGAGGTTCTCGGCGTGCCAGGCTCCTTTGATGGGCGCTTCCGCTTGGCTGTTGAATGCCTGCAGAATGTCTGCGCAGACACTTCGTGCAGGGCTGACCTCTCAGTTTGCAGCTGCAGTCGGGCGACGGCTAGGTGGCGATCCCACTTCAGCATTGCATCCATTCCGCTGGAAGAACCCCCCAAGCGGTTCACGTTGATGAAGAACCTCAGGGACTCAGGGGAGGGCCGCAAGGCAGGAAAGGACGGGAAGGCTACAGAGGCAGAGAAAAAAGCCCTTTCGTAAGCGAGGAGCTGGAAGTACATGGCGATGAGACGCTGGTCCTCCGAGAACCAAACGTAGCCTCAGGCAGCTGCTCACAGGGCTCAGGGCTGCCGGGGACAAAAGTAAGACTTCAGCCTCAAGCGGCTTCTGCACACAGTTATAATATATATATATATATAT